TCTCCGCAGCCGCGGGGCGCCCGGACAAGCCAAGAGAAGGCATGGGGTGTGGCCTAAAATGCCAATGAGCTGCACTGTCAGGGGTGTGGCCTAATATGCTAATGAGTTTCGGCTGTTGGGTGTGGCCTATTATGCTAATGAGTTCCTGCTGGGCTTTTACTACAAAAAAAAATCCTGCTTATATTTATACCCAGCCCACCCTGTAAACAGGCTCTGGGCAGTTTACAGAAGACGGCAGAATGTGCCGAATTAGCATAAAACCATAACATTAAAATAGTATAAAATATTCTCAACGTTACAATAATAGTATTTAAGGTGCTCACAGTATTCACACAGATGGCGTGAATTTCCATTCCATTCCATTCTGATCTTACGGCCAGTCCTATGATCCAGATATTAAATGGCGTAGTCCATCGTGGGCCAGTCCCATATTCCAGATGTTCAATGGAATAGTTGGTGGTAACGGTGGTGGCGGCGGCTCCTATTTGAAAGCCTGGTGGAAGAGCTCCGTCTTGCAGGCCCTGCGGACCTGTACAAGGTCCCGCAGGGCCCTGATCTCCTCCGGGAGCTCGTTCCACCAGTAAGGAGCCGCCACCGAAAATGGTGACGGTGAGCCTCGCATCCTTGGGGCCTGGAATAGTCAAATGCTGTTGTGCCCCGGACCATAGTGCTCTCTGGGGTATAAATGGGGAAAGGCAGGTAACCTCAGGTAAGCTGGACCCTGGGCATATAGGGCTTTAAAGGTAAGTCTAGCCCCCAAAGCAGAATTTCTGACGCTTTGTTGAAGTGGGACCCTCTTTCTCTACTGGAACCGCCAGTAAAGCAGCTTCTTGCTACCCCCTCCCCACTTAAATGGCTGGAATCTCACAATAGCTGGTGTTGAAGAAGACCATACCATCAAGCAACGGACTCATGGCAACCTCATCCACAGAGCATTGCAGGCAAGGGATGAGCAGAGATAGTTTGCCATTGGGGTTGCCAGCCTCCAGGGAGCCCCTGGAGATCTCCTGAATTTACATCCAATCTCCAGACAACAGAGATCTGTTCCTCTGGAGAAAATGGCTGCTTTGGAAGGTGGACTCTGTGGCCTTAAATACCAATAAAGTCCTTCCCCTCCCCAAAGCCTGGTCTTCCCAGGATCCATCCCCTAAATCTCCAGGTTTTTTCCAAACCCTGGAGTTGGCAACCCTGTTTGCCATTGCCTGCCTCTGCATAGCAACCCCAGCCTTCCTTGGTGGTCTCCCATCCGAGTCCTAACCAGGGCCGGCCCGTTCTTAGCTTCCAAGTTCTGACAAGCTCGGGCCAAGTTTGGTGTAGTGGTTAAGTGTGCAGACCCTAATCTGGCAGGGCCGGGTGTGATCCCCCACTCCGCCACTTGCAGCCGCTGGATGACCTTGGGCAAGCCTTAGTTCTGTCAGTGCTGTCCTTGAAAGGTCAATTCTGGAAAGAGCTCTCTTAGCCCCACCTACCTTACAGGGTGCCTGTTGTGGGGAGGGGAAGGGAAAGGAGTTTGTAAGCTGCTCAGAGACTCCGAGTGAAGGGCGGGGTATAAATCCAATCCCTTCTTCTTCTTCCACCGTTTACAAATACACAGCATGATGGAGCAGGAAGCTGTATATTTCATGGCTGCTGTGCACAGGCAAACACAAATCTGACATCCAGCATCCCAGAACATGCTCACAGTTAGCCCTGTTCCTCTTCACCCCACCCCTCCTGGCCTCACAACTCCCCTGTGAGGGGGTCCTGACCCACAGAACTGCTGCCTCTAAAAGAAGAAGAAGAGATTGGATTTATACCCCGTCCTTCACTACCCAAGGGAGTCTCAGAGCGGCTTACAAACTCCTTTCCCTTCCCCTCCCCACAACAGACACCCTGTGAGGTGGGTGAGGCTGAGAGAGCTCTGACACAAACTGCTCTTTTTCAAGGACAGCTGTGCCAGAGCTTGTGACTGACCCAAGGTCACATCAGCAGGTGCAAGCGGAGGAGTGGGGAATCAAACCTGGTTCTCCCAGATTAGAGTCCGTGCACTTAACCACGACACCAAAGAGTTCCACAAGAGAATGGCACAAGAGCGCCACTCTACCGTAAGAGGTGACCCTCTTTCTTAACCCTTGGCAGTGCCTGAGCGTGCGTGCCCTGCGGTGCTAATGCTGCCAGGGGCTAGACAGACACACCATCTCACTCCAGGTTGGGGCTGTGTTGCAGGTGAGCCTCCACTATCAGCCAACGCTTGGTGGGGCGCTAGAAGAAAGTGGGGCATCTCAGCATCCCCACCAGCTGGAGGCACTTCAGCAGTTGGCAGGCTTGGACTTCCCCCTGGACAAGCTGTGGGAGAGGCTGGTGGGCGGCCCCCCCATGGAGCAGAAAATGGAAGAGATGGAAGCCCGGCAGAAGACCTTGGAGAACATCGTGTCGGTCCTGAGTCGGGAGCTGGGCAGGAGAGTGGAGCCCCCCGCAGATACCCTCGGAGAGGCCATGGCCCGGATTCTCTACCTGGAAGAGAAGGTAAGATGCCATGACGTGTGCCTCACTTCTGCGAAGAGTGAGAAGTTCTAGGGTTGGCTCCCTTGGGAGGAGAGAGAGCATCCAGGTGGGCCACAGTCTGACTAGTATGTGACGAGGAAGCAAACAAAACTGTGACAAAACAATGCTAAATACTAATCTCTCCTTATATATAATTGAATAGTGGGTGCCAAAGTTCTAATTCTAAAATGCACTCCCTTAGTGTATGGCTGATGGAACATAAGAGACGCCAATGTTGGATCAGGCCAAAGGCCCATCCAGTCCAACACTCTGTATCACACAGTAGCCAGAAATACCAGTGCCATCAGGAGGTCCAGCAGTGGGACCAGGACACTAGAAGCTCTCCCACTGTTGTCCCCCCCTCCCCAAGCACCAAGAAGACAGAGCATCACTTGCCCCAGAGCCCCTATTTATACCTTGTGGCTAATAGCCACTGATGGACCTCTGCTCCATATGCTTATCTAATTCCCTTTTGAAGCCGTCCATGCATGTAGCCGCCACCACTTCCTGTGGCAGTGAAATAGCATGCAATTGCCACACCCAAACACACCCCACTCCCAGTAATAGGCTATTTACGTAACATCACTACTCGTTTGGTTTATTCCAGAGTCCTGGTCGGCTATTGTTCTTGTGCCCCAAGCCCAGCCAGTCTCTGGGGTGATTCAATCAGGGATGATTCAGTCCCAATACATAACACTAAGTATTCTGTCTCCTTTTCTCAAAGACTTATCATAAGCGTATTTTTCAGTATGCCATTATAGGATCACAGTTGTCATATTATATCTCAGGATACCATCCAAGAATCATCACTGTGCAATGACAGGAATAGGAAATTCGACACAAAACAATTTAGCATTTGAAGGACACACTTCCATACATTCGAGACACATTAATGTTCTCCTGTGTAACAACTTCAAACACAGGGTTTTTCCCAGTCCAAAAATACTAGTCCCCAGGCAGTGTTTCCTCTAAGCTGAGTTAGTGTGAGCTAGCTCACAGTTTTTTAGCCTCTGGCGCACACATTTTTGTCTCAACTCAAGGTCGTCCAGCAGCTGCGAGTGGAGGAGTGGGGAATCAAACCCGATTCTCCCAGATTAGAGTACGCACACTTAACCACTACACCAAACTGGTGTGGTGCACATATTGTCACGGTATCTGCTAGATCCTAGTATAGTCTTCACAAATGCCATACCCCTTCTTCCATCAGAGGACCTTCGACATGCAAAGCCAATGCTCTTTCACTGAGCCACAGCCCTTCTGCGGATAAGGGTCTGGATCAATATAAGGTGGTTTCATACGACATCTGGAGCAATAAGGTTGCAGCTCCTTTCTGCGGGAGGAGAGGATTCCTTTACAATAACCCCCTGCTTATCTCTGCTTCAAAGTTATGCCGGTTTCTTTTCTTTTTCCTCCTCTCCCTCCGGCCATCCAATTCTTCCAGGTGGAACATCAGGACTCACTCTTGGCCATGAAGGACGTAATGATCAGCAATTTGGCGGCACGGATCCACACTCTGGAACAAACCACCTATGACGGATGTTTCCTCTGGAAGATCTCAGATGTGGGGCTCAGAACTCAGGAGGCGCTAACCAATAACAGGCCTGCTCTTTACTCCCCCTGTGAGTGATCGTAAGTCTGGGATGGGGGTTAGGGATATAAAATTAGGACGATTTGGCAACACCTTCATCCCTCGCTCCTCAGAGTGCAGTAGCTAGCTTGCCATCGTGAACTGGGGCTAGGATTCTGTGTCCAAAAGTGGGGTTGCCAGCTCCAGGTGGGGAAATTCCTGGAGATTTGGGGGTGGAGCCTGGGGAAGGCAGGGTTTAGGGAGGGAAGGGACCTCGGCAGGGTATAATGCCACAGAGTCCACCCTCCAAAGCCACCATTTTCTCCAGAGGAACTGATCTCTGTAGTCTGGAGATGATTTGAAATTCCAAGAAACCCCCAGGCCCCACCTGGAGGTTAACAACTCCAGATGTTACTGGATTTCACAGCCATACAGAGTTTTTTTTGTGTAGTGGTTAAGTGCGCGGACTCTAATCTGGGAGAACTGGGTTTGATTCCCCACTCCTCCACTCACAGCTGCCGGATGACCTTGGACAAACCATAGTTCTGTAAGAGCTGTTCTTGAAAAAAGAGCAATTTCTGTTAGAGCTCTCTCAGCTCAACCTACCTCACAGGGTGTTTGTTGTGGGGAGGGGAAGGGAAAGGAATTTGTAAGCCGCTCTGAGACTCTGAGTGAAGAGTGGGGTATAAATCCAATCTCTTCTTCTTTTAGAAAGTTCTGGTTTCTGTCATGTTTTCTCCTCACTCCTGCCGTTGGCTTTTTCCATACATATTAACAAAATTCAGTAGAAATATTGCTGCCAAAACTGATGTCTGTGTAAAAGGAAACAAGCCATGAATACTATCAACATCAAAACGGGCCAAACAAAATGACTCATGAGGGCAGCATACAAAAATAAGTAGAAATGAAAAGGGGCCTAGCCCTTACTCAAAATATCCCAAATCTTGCAGTCAGGGAGGGCTTTGGCCTTGAGTTTTCAGCACAGCACAGAGCAGACCTGCCCACTTCACTCTACTGGAGGCCAGACTCCATTTTGTTTCACTTACTCCCCCCACAAATGGTCCACTGTACATATGTCAAATATTAGCATTTATGCAGTGCTTAGGAAGGTGAAAACTCTAGCATGGAACCATGACCCATTTAGTGAAATGTAGTGGCTTTGTGGTTACCAAGCTCCAGGTGGGATCTGGAGATCTCCCACATTTACAACTAGGGGTGCCACGTCTGTCGGACCAGCTGGTGGGGGTGGGGGTGAACTTACCAGGAGCAAGGAGGGAATGAACCGGAAGTAAACATAATGTGACTACATCACCCGGAAGTGATATAGGCACATTGGGGATGATGCTCTGGTTTGGGGGCAAAACCTCTATGGTAGAATTATATTGTACCATAGAGTTTGCTCAAAAAACAGAGCATCGCCCTCCCCCCCCCCCGACATCACCAACATGGCTATATCACTTCTCGTCATGTCACATTTACTTTGGCTTCTTGCATGTATGGGGGATGGTAATGGGGGTCGGAGAGGAGCACCCAAAACCAGGGGACCCCTGGCCCCACTGGGTGGTCTGGCATCCCTGTATACAACACTTAAAATGCTGAAAAGTCGAGTCATGACCCTTTAATGGAATCTAGTGAGCTTAGGGTGGCCAACCTCCAGGGGGCACCTGGAGATCTCCCACTATTACAGTTGATCTCCAGGTGACCCTGGAGAAAATGGCTGCTTTGCAGGGTGGACTCTAGGACTGATTTCCCACAGCTGCTGCTCTGCACTTGCTCCTCTCTTTGCCCTGATGGTACGTGTCAATGTCCCCCTCGAAGCTGCGCGGCTGCATTTTGACCCGCGGCTTTGCCCGATTTTGCCCACAGTTTCGTACTCCTCAAAAAACAGGATCACGAAACTGTGGGGGAAATCGGCGAAGCCGCGGGTCAAAATGCGGCCGCGCGGCTTAGAGTGGGAAATTGACACATACCATCGGGGCAAAGAGAGGAGCGAGTGCAGAGCAGCGGCTGTGGGAAATCAGTCGAGGGCATTACACACCACCTAAATCTCCAGGAGTTTCCCAATCCAGAGCTGGCAACCCCTAAATTTTAAACCACAGACTGACTGGTTCGTGGTCTATTCTGTGCTTGTAAACAGTAGACTGACACAGCCTGGTGGTGAGAACACTAAAGCATGAGATGGCTGATCAGCAGCTGTTGTTCTAACAGCCACCCTGGCATGAAGCGATGAAGTCCTGCTAGGGTCCATTTTGACTAGCTGGGAAATGAGGGCTATACTAGCAGCCACTGACTTCCATCATACAGCCGTCACAGGGCTGGAAAAATATTTCAGACTCCTTATTTGCCAGAGTCGCATTTTTAACAACCCAGAGCCCAGATTCCTAGGATTCCCCCCCCCCCGACACTGTTCAACTTCATAGAATGAGTTTGAAAGCCGATTTAAATCCCACACCTTCCCCAAGCAGCCCTCTGGATTTTAGTTCTGCCCAAGGGCCAAGGGTAGCTAATGTAATAATTTTTAATGGCTTCAAATGACTGTTCCTTAGGAACCAGAGCTGGCCATGGCAGTTAAAACAGATTTCACCAAAGGTGCACTGAACTAGAGATCGGGGGGAGGGGAGCATAGGACTGCCGCCAATCTGTATTCCTCCCTACGTCTCCTTGATAATATCTAGGGAAGGATGAAACAGAATAGGACACCATTGTGCTCATTCCCAGCTCTGCTATTTCTTGACTTCATTGGCTGCTGGTTCTGTGTGAGATCGCTCTCCCCCTCCTTATTTTTATCCTTAGAAACAACCCTATGATGAGGTAGGCGATGCTCCCTCTAAGCTGTGGAGTCTTGTGAGGAAAAATCCTACTTTGCGAGCTGCTGGCATTAAAGCTGTGAGCGCGCAATTTGGCTACTGCATAGATTAGTTTGCTCTGGAGCCGTTCCTTCCTGAGCTGAGGTAAAAATGTGTGAGCCGGAGGCTAAAAAACTGTGAGCCAGCTCACACTCACTCAGCTTAGAAGGAACAATGTAGGTAGGATATGCAGAGAATTACTGGCCCAAACTACAGGGTTGCCAGTCCTGGGTTGGAAAGCACCTGGAGACTTTGGGGTGGATCCAGGAGAGGGTGGGGTTTGGGGAGGTGAGGGGCCTCAGCATGGGACAATGCCGTAGAGTCCACCCACCAAAGCAGCCATTTTCTTCAGGGGAGCTGATCTCTGTCAGTTGGTGCTCAGTTGTAAAAGCGGGAGATCCCCAGGCCCCACCTGGAGGCTGGCAACCCTACCAAACTAGCTTCATAGCTGAGTGGGGATCTGAAAGTGGGTCTCCCCATTTATATGCTGCCTCTGTTTACCTCTCATTGGCTGTGTGGGGGGGGTTATATTGGAAAGAAAACGGCCACCAAAATGGGGCATGATCAATGCCCCCAGTGCGATGATGACACACCTTCCAGAGTGGCCTAGAAGTGATGCCATCGTGTTGAGTAACGCTCTAGCATTCACCCCAAATTCTATGGGTCAACCATAAAGTTTGGAGCAAAAGCTGGTGTGTGCCTCCCCCCAGTGTGATGGCATCACTTCTGGGTCACACCAGAAGTGACATCACTGCAACAGGGCAGCGATATGTTTCCCACAATGCTTAGTTTGGACCTCGTACAGTTAAATGCAGGGTCTCCTTGGAACACAACGCTAATATAACTTGCCCACTAGAGGGCACTAGTACACACACACAAACACACACACATATATTTTAATGCTGTCTGTTCCTTTTTGCACAAAGGTTTTTATACCAGCCGCTATGGATACAAACTCCGTCTCAAACTCTTCTTGAATGGAGATGGGACAGGCACTGGGACCCACCTCTCGCTCTTCCTGGTCGTGATGAAAGGGGAATATGATTTCCAGCTTAAGTGGCCTTTCCAGCACAAGGTATGGAGCTATAACAGGGATCCCCAACGCGGTGCCCTAACCCTAACCCCAGCACCCACCAAGTGTTTTTGGAAAGTGGGGAGGGCCAGGTGGGGTTATTAAGTATTAGAGATCTGATTGGCTGTGCAGACCTTTTAAAGAAACTGCTTTGAAAGCCACTACCACCACAGCCCAGGATCTTCATTGTGTGTGACTAACGGTAAGCTGTGTGTACCGAAGGGGGGGGAAAGGATGTTAATTGTAAAAGGTATCCTGTTAAATCAATCTTCTATCTGAAATGTTGAAGACTTACTATTAGAGTCATACGTAACCTGACTATTTGATGGTTTGCAGTTGGCTCTACCTCCTCTGGCAGCCATTTTATGGTTGTGTCCACAACCCCGTATCAGAATGCCAACAGGCTGGGTACCCCCGGGCTATGAGATCATCAGAGACGGGACCTTTCCCTCACTTCTGAGTTTTGTCTCTTATTCAAGGCCACTGATGCTGATGGCATATGGGGCTGTGTCTTAGCTCTTCAGAGCACGGGTGGATGGAAGTTAAGACTGGAGCCCATAAGTGGACCACTAGCCAGATTCCAGTGCACCAGCTTCGGCCTGCTGGTTGCTTCAATTCTTGCCCAGAATGCTGGGTCGGGCAGAGCCGGTCCCTGACCAAGAACTAGGGTTGCCAGGTCAGTTGGACAAGCCAGCAGGGGACTTACCGGGAGTCTCCAGGAACAGGAAGACGCACGACGTGCCCCAGGTGATGTAGGCACACCAAGGACAGCAGATGTGCCGTCACTTCTGGGTGACGTAGGCACATCACGTTCATTTCTGGCTTCTTGCCTACCTGCAAGAGTAACGGGGGGGGGGCGGAGAGTCATCCCTGAAACCGGGGGAACCCCTGCTCACTGGGGGGACCTGCGAAGCCTACCAAGCACACTCACCCCAGATTAACTATCCTTTACCTGTTGAGAGATCCTGATTAGGCATTCCAGCTTTGTAAACACGCCCACCCACACAGGGGGACGACAAAGTTTTAATAACACCACAAAGAATGATGTGCGCGGCTGAAGGTGGACCACCGCTCCTGCATCTAAGCGAGAGGGAGAGCATAGGTCAGTGGGATCAACTTTACACATAGGAGGTGTAATGTATTCAGATGCTGCCATGAGTACATTAGGATGTGTGTGAAACATCCCATTGGGAAGCAATGTTAAGCTTCGTCTTGGATAGAGGATTCTAGTCCAAGACTACACGACCAATCACATTCAAGCAAGCTGCAAGCGGAAACGTTTGTGATTGGACCTTATGCGATCAACCTGATAGGTTGTTATCTGTAAAGTAGGAGTGGCTATATTAGCCGGGAATGTTTAAATATCGAACAGCTACAATGGACAAGCTGTTCGGGCTATCAAGATGTCGTACCGTGTTGGAGAACTGATCGTGAAGAGAATAAACTTGAGTTTTGGCTGAAATCACTCTCCGACTATTTGTTAAGCACAGTACATAACAGGAGGTGCCAGAATCTCCCAGTGCAGACAGACCTCTTGGCTCAGGTGGGTAGCCCTGTTGGTCTGCGGCAGAAGAGCCAGATTCAAGCTAGGTCGCCCCGTGAGCTTTTATCGTTCCGCAGGGCCTGTCCAACGGAGCTGTTCTGCCCAGGCCTTTGGTTGAAGCAGCAGGCGCCCAGAAGAGTAAGAAAGATCAGGGGGCCCTGCTGAAGACACCATCTATGTGCGGCCCGGAGTAAACGGATTTTAGAGTCCAGTGGCACCAGTATTGATGCAGTTTGTTTTTAAAGGCTTGTTTGAATGAGTTTGTTTGAATTAAGGTATTGTGTTGTGTCAAGTGGTTAAGACGATGAACACTATTTGTTAAGCACAGTACATAACAGGAGGTGCCAGAATCTCCCAGTGCAGACAGACCTCTTGGCTCAGGTGGGTAGCCCTGTTGGTCTGCGGCAGAAGAGCCAGATTCAAGCTAGGTCGCCCCGTGAGCTTTTATCGTTCCGCAGGGCCTGTCCAACGGAGCTGTTCTGCCCAGGCCTTTGGTTGAAGCAGCAGGCGCCCAGAAGAGTAAGAAAGATCAGGGGGCCCTGCTGAAGACACCATCTATGTGCGGCCCGGAGTAAATGGATTTTAGAGTCCAGTGGCACCAGTATTGATGCAGTTTGTTTTTAAAGGCTTGTTTGAATGTTCTAACTTTTTGTTTATTATTGTGTTGTGTGGCCAAATGGCCCACCTGTTGTTGTGATCCGCCCTGAGCCTGTTCGCGGGAGGGAGGGAGGGAGGGAGGGAAGGGGAAGAGAGAAACAGAGAGAGAAAGACCAGCCAGATATCCAGGGTATCAGCTTTTGAAGGTCAGATATCTGATGAAGGGAACTTCGACCCTCGAAAGCTTACAAACCAGGAATCCCGTGGGACGTTAAGGTGCTACCGGACTCAATTCATAGTCCTCTCGCCTGAGATCCTCGAGGGGTGCTGCCAGCTGAGACAGATTCATAGGCCCAATCTGCGTCTAGCATTTGCTCCACTGTTTTACCAACCCCACGCTGGAACAGAAATTCCCCCCTGCGTTGCATGCCACTTTCACTTTGACTGATGGTTAGATTTTATGGCAGTGTCCAGACTGCGTGGGGCTTTCACTTAATTTGATCTCTTGGTTTTATGGAAGCATCTGCATTGATTTATGGCCATTTTATGGCCGTTCAGGGGTGACTCTGCAGTCAGTAAAGGAGTTGGCCCCGGGGGTATCTGAATGTCGTTTTGAGCCGCATCTATTTCTGTTCCGGTGTGGGTCTGGTAAGACAGCGGAGCAAATGCTAGATGCAGCTTGGCCCATAGAGCCAGAAGGGTCAGCAGCTCGGGGAGTCCACATCATTTACATTTGCTTTCATTTTAGAGACCGTGACTTATGCAAGATCACCCAGTGAGTTTCTGCCACAAGGGGGAGTCCAAACCAGATTTGTGCCTGTACGTCACTGGATATAGCCTTATCGTCCTATGCTATAGCAATCATTGACAAGATTTTCCTGTGGTAGAGCACAATGTCCAGTGGCGTGTAAATGCAGACCCCCTCGCCCCCTCAAGGGCCCGGTTTGCATCCTTAGCCTGCCAACCCCGATTGCCTCCGTTCAGACGCACATCCCTCCCCTAAATGCACAAGGAGGCAATCACAGCCAACTTATGGTGACCCCTCATGGGGATTTCAACGCGAGAGACGTTTAGAGACGGTTTGCCATTGCCTGCCTCTGCGCGGCAACCCTGGACTTCCTCGGCGGACTCCCATCAAAGTAGTCACCAGGGCTGACCCTGCTTAGATTCTGAGATCAGGCCGGACTGGACCATCAGCGTCAGAGCTTATTCTGCATGTCCATAGTGGCCCAGTGCACGCAGTTTTCTGCTTGTTTGGGTGGTGGTGGGGGTTGTTGTTGTTCAGTCGCACAGTCGAGTCCGACTCTTCGCGACCCCATGGACCATCTCCCGCCAGGCCCTCCTGTCTTCCGCCGTCCTCTGAAGTTGGCTCAATTTCATGTTCGTTGCATCGATGACACTGTCTAACCATCTCATCCTTTGCCGTCTCCGTCTTCTTTGACGGGGACGGCAAAGATGGCAAAGAAGACGGGGATGGCAAAGACGGGGTGGTGGGGGAGACTCGCCCCAAAATTATTTATTGATTTATTTATTTTTATTCCACCCTCCCCAAGCAGGCTTAGGGCGGATCACAAAAAGCCAAGTTTAAAACTCGTTATAGTAAAATCACATTAAAATCATTAAAACAGTCACATTAAAATCAGGCTGTTTTCCAGGTTTCCCAGGGTCAGAAAGAACTGTTGCAGGGAGGAGAGCGAAGGAGAGACCAGTGGCCCATCAATGCCTTCCTCTGAGAGGTCACTCGATCCGATGTCCTCTCCTTTGTCACATTCACTGGAATGCATGGGGGGGGGGGCTCCATTTCTGGTGTTCCTTCAGAAGAAACCGTGGCAGTGTTGTTGCTGGGGGTTTTTTTAAATGATTTTGTCAGGGCAATGTGCATTCAGTTCTCTTGTTTTACTAGGTCACCTTCACTCTTCTGGACCAAGTCAACAAGCAGCACTTCTCCACCTCCTTCCGTCCCTTGCAGTCGTCTTCCTCCTTCCAGCGCCCCGTGAGTGAACAAAACGTGGCCAGCGGCCTTCCCGAGTTCTTCCCGTTGAACTTGCTCCATGCTTCGGGGACCACCAGCTCTTCCCGTTTTACCTTTTAGCTGTAAGGATGTAGACATATTAGCTCTTTGTCATTTTCATATCCTGTGTACCTTTTCCCCATGTTAGGTTTATAGTAAGCTTTTATATTTTAATACACACCATGGACTCAGTCTCTTAATACTCTGCTGACTTACTCAAAAAGAATCCTAACACAGTGTGGGTTTGGTACGACAACGGAGCAAATGATAGATGCAGATTGGGCCACAGAAAGGGATGCAGGCAGTGCAGATGGCTGTGAGCAGGGGCAGTGGGAGGCCTTGCCTTGGGGCCAGGGGAAGGATGCACAGGCAGGAAGGAGGACACATGGGTCAGTGGGCAGGAAGGGGCCCCCAGGAACTCTCTGCCCACCCACCCCCAAATTTGGTACCAGCCCGGGGGGCTGAACTGAGGAGGAAGAGGGTGAAACTCCCTCGTCAAAAGGGCAATTTCATCCCCTCCATAGTGCAAGTCCTGTGAATCACTACACAACTCCATGCGTCCCGCATCCCTGTAAATAAGGTTTCCCAGGGTCAGAAAGAACTGTTGCAGGAAGGAGAGCGAAGGAAAGACCAGTGGCCATCAATGCCTTCCTCTGAGAGATCATTCGATCCGATGTCCTCTCCTTTGTCACATCCACTGGAACGCATTGGGGGGGGCCCTCCATTTCTGGTGTTCCTTCAGAAGAAACCGTGGCAATGTTGTTGCTGTTTGTTTTTTTTTTTAATGATTTTGTCAGGGCAATGTGCATTCAGTTCTCTTGTTTTACTAGGTCACCTTCACTCTTCTGGACCAAGTCAACAAGCAGCACTTCTCCACCTCCTTCCGTCCCTTGGAGTCGTCCTCCTCCTTCCATCGCCCCGTGAGTGAACAAAATGTGGCCAGCGGCCTTCCCGAGTTCTTCCCATTGAACTTGCTCCATGCTTCGGGGACCACCTACATCTGTCATAACACGTTAGCCGTTCAAGCTGTAATAGACCCAAAGGCTTAGACTTTCGGGGATCATTCGCCCTACTCGACTGGAGATTGTACGGTCCAGGAACTGTTACTCTGGCCTATTGCTAGAGAGACTGATTCAGCAGTGTCAAGATGGCTGCCTGAAGACTTATTGCTGCATTCTTGAAGATCTCTTCTCGGAGGCGCCGCTGAAGAAAGAAAACGTCTTCAGGTTGTTCAAAGACTTCAGGTTGTTCAAAGCCTTGCACATACTCAGTAGAAGATAACCGGATTTCTTTTGCTTGCTGGTTCCAAAATATATGAAGGCTTGTGTAAAGCTGATTTAACTTATTGAAATTTTTCACATACTTGTCCTTTGGGTGTGCGTGTTTTGTTTCACAGTGTTCTGAATGTATTCTATTCCATACATTTGTGTTCCAACCTTTCTCCAAAGAGCACAGAGGAGCGCTTGGGGTTCTCCTATACTGTTCAAACAATTCAGTGGGGTAGGTTAGGCTGAGAGAGCTACGACAAAAATGCGTGAGTCAGAGGCTAGAATACTGTGAGCTAGCTCACACTAACTCAGCTTAGAGGGAACACTGATCATAGCACTCCCTAATGGTCCTGACAATCCATCAGGACAGGGTCTGAGATGACGCTTTCCTATCTCTCTTAGGGCCACTAAAACAAACAGGGCTCTGTCTCTGCGAAACTCCAGGGTTCTCTTGAGGTAAAATAATAATGCCCTCCTAACCGCTAAAGAATGCAATGAGTGCTCATTCTCAGAGCTCGGTGCAGGAAAAAATACAGGCAAAATGATATCTTGGGATAAATGGAACCTAGAAACTACCTTAGGAAGAAACCTAAGACTGGGGCAAAAGATTACATTTTCGGGGGGGGGCACTTCAAAAATGGGGCATCTGTCTGGAGAGCTGCTAGCTCATTCACCCTCCTAGCTAAGGTAACCACTACTAAGAAACACACCTTCATAGAAAGTTCTGCCAAAGAACAGGTAGCAAGGGGTTCAAAAGGTCTGCGCATTAACTGTGCTAACACAACAAACAGACACCATTGGGGCACTACAGGATCCCAGGGTGGGCAGAGATTACCTCACTCTTTAAGAAACCTCTTAGACAAATGATGGGAGAAAACTGATCCTTCTTCAACTCCCTTGTGATAGCCCGAGAGAGAAAAACAGGTGAACCTTCAGAGCAGGGGTCGTTTCGTAGAAAAAGAGCTAGGGGAACTCATTAGCATAACTCATTAGCATATGCCACACCCCCTGACATCACCGGAAGTGTGTCATAAGGCCACACACCCCGCCCCCAACGGTCCCGGCTGCCGCCGCCAGCCTTGCACCTCCACTGCCGAGACCCATGAGGGGCCCAGCGGTGGACCTGCAAGGCCGGCGGGAGTGCAAGGAAGCCCCGCGAAGGCCCTCCCTGGCCCCAGGCAGGCAGGGGTGGGGAGAGGCAGGGAGGAAGCAACTTACCCTCCCTCTTCTCCTGCCTCCTCCTGGCTGAATGAGGGCCGGAAGCGGGGCGGCCTGAAGCAAGGGGCGGGGCTTCGTCATGTGCCCTGCCCCCGTACCTCACCCGGGGGAACTGCGATCCCCTGCGATCCCCCCCCCCGAAATGACCTCTGCTTCAGAGAAGAAAATGCCAGGTACCTAGCTTTCAGGTGTAATAAATAACCAAATATGACCTGCAAAGGGGCACCACCCAGCGACAAGTCCGTCTCACTACACCAGAGGGAAAATGGTCTCCACTTATACGCATAGGATCTCCTACGTGTTGGGCTTGTGTGATTCCAGGAGAGTGTCATTAACCTCTTTAGAAAATATTAGGCCTTCGTCTGAAGCCTTCAAGCCGTCAGGTTGAGGCAGTTCAGAGCGTGATGAAACACCTGGTTGATGCTGATGAAATCCGGTCAATTTGGTAGGGGAAGGAACTGGCCCCGGGAGATCTCTGTAAGGATCAGAAACCATCTTTGACGAGGCCAAAAGGGTGCTGCTGGGATCATGTTCGATCTCTTCCTCCTGGCTTTCTCTGTTACCCTGATAAGGGGCGGGAACAAAGGGAACGCATGAAACAGGGCTCGCTGCCAACACACCGGAAGCGCATCCCCTAGGGAACCAATCCCTACTCCTGCTCAGGAACAAAACCTTACAGCCCTCGTTTTCTCACATCACAGAAAGTTCAACATCCGGAAGCCTCCAGAGGGTAACAAGTGGTTCCAGGTGAATGGCCTTTACGGACCACTTGTGGGAGAGTGCGCCAGCCCTGCTCAATCTGTCGGCTTGCGTGTTTAAACTCCCAGGGATGTGGATAGCTTGATTGGAAGCACTGAGCAGTGAATGCCATGGCCCATGCAAGGGTAGCTTCCTGACATAGACCTCTGGACCCTTTACCCCCTTGCTTGTTTAAATAAAACATCATAACGGCATTGTGCTGCCCCTGGCAGAGATTAGAATAGCATAGCAAGTTGCACTCTATCTTCAAATATATAAAGGAGTGTGGGAAACGTAGTTTAGTAACCTTAAGTTCAGCTGGTTAGAAGTAGCCTTTATACAGCCTTCTTTTTCCTTTGATACTTTTGCCCGGGAAAACCTGTTTATTGCCCTTTCAGTGTTTTTGTAATCCTCTCAGCTAGCAGACAGGACAGATCCAGCTCCTTTTTTTACCACATGAACGATTCAATAGACTCAGGACTTTAAGGCTTTTATCAGCACCAGGAAAGGGAATGTGAGTAAACTGAACCTTTGTCTGCTTAAACAGTTGAATAAGGTTGATTCTAAACGAGTGGTCAAGTGTGTTGAAAACTTAGCTGTTCTTATGGGCGAGCGCCATGCTGCTGGGAACAGTGTAGACTTTGTCTGTCTGGACAAGGATATCGGAGAAACAAGTAAGGACATTAACAAACTGCTCACAATTCTAAAATGTTAGTGTGCAGCAGCTTCTCATCTTCTAACCGAGTATCCTTAATCAAGTACTCCCACAATGTCTCAAATTTCAACACCCTATCCCCCCCCCCCCAAGCTTTAGGGGTGAAGCACTGGCAGGCCTTACATGTGGAGACACTATGCCCTTCACCCAAACAGAACAGAACAAAGGTCACGCTCGCCATGTTGGGTCACCTTCGTTTCACATCGGGAGTCCTTCTTGAAAAGGGCATTCTGAGCCATGGAAGGGACTCCGCAGCCGACGTAGCTTCAACAAATCTGACAAAATCCTCTCCATTGTAGCTGGAGATTCCAAAAACACAGACGTTTTTCTTTGGCAGCAAAAGAAAAAATGAGGATAGGGAGCACTACTGTGCAGAAGCACACGGTCCCTGAGCAGAAACAAGCTTCTGACTGGGGGGGGCACAGCGCCCCCTGGAGGCTTTTAGCTGTAAAGTGCTGTCCAATGGCATGCCTGCTCATGCGCAGTCCCCCATGTGGGACTGCACAGAAGATTGATGATGGACTCCACATTCTCATTTAAAAACAATTGATGCTCATGGACATCACTGCACCCTCTGGCAGCAAATCCTGCAATCTATTAATCATTGGATAAAGCGGTACATCACTTTGTGCATCCGGAGTCTACTGCCCCACCAGCTTCACTGGGCTTGTTTCTAGTGAGGTGCGAAAAGTTCTCACCAAGTTACATCTTTCTTCCCTCTTTGCCACATCAGCCATGAGCAGCGGGGTCTGTTAATTGCAGTCATTCCATAAGGTCAATACTTGCTGCCCACCTCCTCACAACTCCTCCACAACAGGTGTGCTTTCCAGCCCAACAGTTATGAAAGCGAGTGGATTTAAAAAAAAAAAATCTCTGAAGCTGCTCTGTGGTTAAGTCTTCTGAGGAAGGCCTTGACCGATTTCCCACAAGCCACTGCTCCACCCTCGCTCTTCCTTCCCCCCTCCCCCATTGTACGTGTCCATTTCCCACTACTTGCTGCGCAGCCGCATTTTGACACGCATCTTCACCCGATTTCCCCCGCGTCTTTTCAATCCTCAAAAAAACAGGATCAAAAAGACGTGGGGGAAATTGGGTGAAGCTGCGGGTCAAAATGTGGCCGCGCAGCAAGTAGTGGGGAATTGACACATACAACGGGGGGGCGAGCGAGGGCAGAGCAGCAGCTTGTGGGAAATCGGTCCTTCTGAATCCTTACCTTCACCCAGAGAAAAACAAAAAACCCTGCAGGGAATAGGTTTCAAAAATAGGGGAAGTAGCTCCCTCACACTAGGTACACCAAAACAATTGTGTGACCTCCTCACCCCACCCCAACTAAAGTCGGCCCACTAGCCAGCTGTTGTGGCCCACAAGCAGTTTGATCTGAAGGCCTGGCCCAAGCTAGCTTGATCTCAGAAGCAGGGTCACCGACCTCCAGGTGGGACCTGGAGATCTTCTGCTGTTACATTTGATTTCCAGACTACAGAGCTCAGCTCCCCTGGAAAAAATGGCGGCTTTGGGGGGGGTGGACTCTATGGCATCGGAGCCTGCTGAGGTCCCCTCCCCTCCCCAGGCTCCACCCTCAAAATCTCCAGGTATTTCTCCACCCGGAGCTGGCAACCTTGCTCAGAAGCCAAGCAGGATTGGCTCTGGTTGGTGCTTGGATGAGACCGCCGAGGAAGTCCAGGGTTGCCACCCAGAGGCGGGCAGTGGCAAACCACCTCTGCTCATCTCTTGCTTTGAGAACCCCGCTAAGGGGTTGCTGTAAGTGAGCTGCCATCTGTCAGCTCACTTACAAGATCTGCAGCAACCGAGTGGGGATCCTTGGAATGGACACATGAATGCTGCTGGATCAGACCAGTGGTCCACCTACTTCCGGATCCTGTTTCACAGAGTAGCCAATTTGTTACCCTCACAGCCGGTTTTGGTCACATGTGGTACCGTCCCGATATACTGGCTTTTTGTACAGCAGGCTCTGTTTCCATGACAGTGTAGCATCTCTTCCCTTTTACAGAGGCTTTGCCCAAAATAACCCCCGCAAGCCACTTCCGTGATTATTTGACATGCGATACCCACAATTAAGAACCGCGCATAGTGTTAGGATGCGACACTTAAAATTAGATGCAATTGTTTGGGTGGTGATTTCTGCCCCTGAGAAATGATCATTACTATTAAAAGCAGGACCCCCAAGCCTGACAGGGGCCTATTCCAGAGGCCTAAATGCACAAGAAGAAAACCAAAAGCAACAAAGCCCAAAGTCGGTTCGGTTTTATTTTTTATTATTATTATTATTTTCATTGGTTCCACAAGGGGTTCTCAAGAGGCAGTGAGTGAATCTAAAAGTCCTACTTCTGTCAATACACCTAACTTCCAAACAGAGGGCACTCCCCCCACCACCACCGCTTTCCAGAACATTCCTACAAACGCCCCTCCTAGCTACATTACACAAACACATACACAGTGTTATTGGGTAAGAGGAAGCGGCGTTCCTCAAGCCTGTATTTATTTATTTTTTAATCTAGCTGCTCTTTCATGACCACAGAACATCCGTGGAAGTTATTTGTTGAGGTGGCAGTGAGGAAGCAATTCTGAGTTTGGGATGTGGGGGGAGGGAGTGTAGGCCCGACTCTGAACTCCCTTGTCCCAAAACAGCAGCACCATAGAGATGTATGTGGCAGACTGAACAGCCATACAGGCTAGTTTTTAAAGATGCTTTAGGATTAGAACTAAGTTACTGAGGGAAAGGAAACAGTCTTGTTTTTGCTTTTTTAATTATTGACTGAGAGGTCTGTGGTATACTTGTGCAATCTTCCTATAGGTGTAATGGTTTAGTCAAGCAAGAAAGTTCACCACGGCCCCCCAATGAGGGTTCCTCCTAAATCCCCCTTATCCAGAACAATGGAATCTCCCAGACCTGTAGCAAGGTAATAGTGGCCTGTACCCCAAACCAGCAGCCCGCCATTGATCGCTATTTGTAATTAAAAATAGAGGGCTACCTCTGTCAAGGGAATGTATCCTGCTCTTTGGACCTTCCAATGCCCTTTTGATGCATTTTGGCCACCATCTTGGGTGCAGACTTCACGAGGCAACATCGCTTAAGATGGCTGCCCACGGAATCGCTCAGGAAGGCGACCCAAAAGCAGTTCTCGGTACCTGATTTAATAACCCGTCGCAAGAAAATCTAGTGGTAACAAAGAGAAAGCAGTGTTTCATTTTTAGCATCCGTAACAAGGCTACAATGTTGAAAGAATCTGGTCCAAAGCACTGATCACTGACTGAAGAGAGAGAACTTCTAGTTTTCCTTCTCAGGGTTAAAAGATTCGCCTCAGGGCTGGACACAAGATCACCACCAGTCTACTGAGAGTTGGAAATCCTTTCTAAGAGTACAAAGTGGCAGGAAAAGAGGAAACATGAGAGTGGTGGAACTACAAGGAAACTAAGATCCAATTTAGGTTTTTTGTGTGTGTTGTTTCTTAAGAGGAAAATGGCAAAATTTAAGGCCAAACAAGATAGCACGGCTGGGGAAGGACGGTGGTATTCTTGCCTCACGAAGCTAAGAAAAACAGGGACGCTTGCACAAAGGAACTGTGGGGAAGGGATTCCTCTTCAGGGATTGCATTTTCGTGAGGGTTCAAATAGGCACTAGATCTCCAGCTTCTTGTTGATGAGAAGAGAGCAGGAACTGAGAGTCCCTCCAAGTTTGGCCACCTCAGTGCAAGCTGCTGGGATGAGGGTGTAGTCTGGAAGTTTCTGGAAAGTCTATAAAGGAAGTAGACAGAATATTGTTAACCCTCTTTCCAGATTTTTTAAAAAAACCAAACCCAACCCCCATTTCTGCACCTACAGAGCCCAAGCCGTGCCCAGAGCCCATAAAGAGACAGGAAGGCTCTCCATGTTTGTTTCTCTGGCAGGGCAAAACACACGTATCTGGAGTGGGATTCTTCAGCCCATCATTTGATGCAGGTACAAGCCTTCCTCCGCTGGCCCTCATAATTCAAGCAAAGGAGGTAGTCTGGTTCGGTTAAAAAAAAAAGTTCCCAGAAGACAGCAGGACAGGTGGTCTTCCACTTCCTTCCCTGCTCTAGATAAGGAGAAATCAAGGGAGCTGAGTGTTCTCACAAGGGGCCTGGCCATACTTCACGGCAACTGAATAGGACCATCTGATAGTATCTGAAGCAGAGCGTGGCGACTCATGAAAGCCACGTATTTTGTTGGTCTTTTAGGTGCTACTGGACTCTTGCTCTTTTCCACTGCATCTGAATCGTGCCTGTAAAACAGCTCACATGAGGACTAAAACACCCCTTCAGCCCTCACAAATCAAAACCCTGTTCCATGCTGAGGGGACTAGACATTACTTAGAAAAGAAGAGATTGGATTTATACCTTGCCCTTCACTACCCAAAGGAGTCTCAGAGCGGCTTACAATCTCCTTTCTCTTCCCCTCCCCACAACAGACACCCTGTGAGGTGGGCGGGGCTGAGAGAGCTCTTTCAAGGACTGCCCTTGAGAGAACAGCTCTGAGAGAACTTGTGACTGACCCAAGGTCACACCAGCAGCTGCATGTGGAGGCATGGGGAATCAAACCCGGTTCTCCCAGATTAGAATCCATGCCCCTAACCACTACACCAAACTGGCTCTCCTCCTCACATACACAAGCACACACAAACGTGTCCATACAGCAGTGCTCCACACCACGGGATACAGCACTGATGTTTTTGACAACTGGTGCGTTGCAGGTGTGTACAGTGAAGCCAATAAACTTTACACCCTGTTGTTTATAGGGGGCTCCCATAGGGAGTAATACACGACCCTCCCAGGCACTGTAACTATTTATACACAGCAGGGATAGAGGACAGCATTTGAATTGACCCACAGTTATCTCCAGTCCTGCCCCAAACAGAATCCACACAAGACCTTAGGCAGACTCTCCTGCCCACACAGCCGTGTCACCAAGCTCCACCCCCTTTCTTACTTGCACGCTGTTAGGATACTCCTGGCCTTAGGCGGACTCTCCCACCCACACGGCCATGTCACCAAGCTCCGCCCCTTTTCTCCAGAGAATCCCTCCCTCTTACTTGCACGCTGTTAGGATACTCCTCCGCACTCCGATGCAAAAGGATGCTGCTCTTCTGGCCAAGCCGAGCGTAGATGCAGTTGGCGGCCGGGTCATCAGGCACAGTCAGCGTTTCGTAGTGGTGATCGGTTAGCTGCTCCATAGTCTACAGAGAGGAGAGGGGGGAAATGGAGGCCATCTGAATGCCAGCATGGAGTCCTGGGGTGAGCTCCCTCTGAGCTGTGGAGCCGTGTGAGCAAAAATTGTACTTTGTGATCTACGAGCATTGAAGTTGTGAGCGAGCGATTTGGCTATTGCATAAATTAGTTTGCTCTGGAGCCATCCTTCCTGAATTAAGTCAAGAATGTGTGAGCTGGAGGCTAAAAAACTGTGAGCTAGCTCACACTAACAGCAGAGGGAACACTGGCAGTGACCCCTTCCCTCCAACACACGTAAACTGGATCATTACCTTCAGTTTTAATTTGTTCTCTTTGCTATTTTTTTCTACTCTCTCTAGCTCCAGCATCTCAAGTGATCTACCATATGGTCTGAAGGCAACTTAAAAAATTGCTTTGCTGGATCACACTGTGATCTATTTCGGGGGGGGGATCGTTTTCACAAAACGCTAAATGAACCTGAGGAATTCGCCAACGTGGTACAGTGAAAGCCGTTAACGCAGAAGCCTTTCGAACAGGATTAGATAAATTCAGAAGAATCCATCTACGATAATTACTTACAGAACCTCCATATTTAGGGGTAGTGTATCTACATACCTGATCCTTGGAAAAGGCCATCACCTTCACGTCTGGCGTGTGAATGCCCACACGCTTCCAGTTGGCCACTGCTGGAAACAGGACGCTGGACTGGAATGACCTGGGGTCTATTCCAGCAAGGCAACTCTTATGTCCATTTCATCTGCCAAAAATGGCTTGCCAGATGTTCCAGGGAAACTCACAAGTAGGTGAGGTGCTTGCTCAACACTTGGGTTTGATTGTTTGCAATGATCTTCCAGCAGCCGCCAACTGGCAAACAATGGCACCCCAGGAGGGAGGGGAGAGGTACCTAATGACTTTATGGCTCCTTTCAGAAGCACCCACACACACACAAAGACACAAGTCCCTACCTTCATGGCTTTCTTGGCTACGTCACTGCTGCCAATCACAACTGTGTCAGAGCCAGCCATACTGCAGAAGCTACGGAGGTGCAACGTGCCTGAGACAGGAATGGTAGATACAGCAAAATCCTGTGCAGAGAGAAAGAGAGAGAAGGACTATCACTGCAACTTCTGCTGTCCAGTTCTGCATCCAGTACAGGGCTTTGCCAAGATCTGCATACAGTATAACAAAGTTTGAGTCCAGTGGTACCTTTAAGACCAATAAAGTTTAAATTTGGGTATAAGCTTTCATGTGCATGCACACTTCTTCAGATACATTGAAACAGATTTCCTCAAACCTTACACATAAGTAGAGAGAAAGTAGGGGGTTAGTTACCAGGAAGGGCTAATTAGAGTCATGACGCATAAGTAACTGAGCTAAGATTGGATTAAAGCAGTTGGTAAGACCTGTGGATAGCAGCAAATTAGCATACAGATAATAAAAGAGTTAACAGATACCAGAACTAAATTTGAGTCTAGTGGCACCTTTAAGACCAACAAAGTTTAATTCTGGGTATAAGCAGAACTGAGTGACTTAGCATGTGCAGTGAGATAAGAACCTGATATCTCTGTTAAGCCCCGGGGGTTCAATTTTCCTGAGTGCTGTAATAACTTGTAATTCAGCCGTCTCCCATTTCAGTCTGTTTCTGAAACTCCTTTGCAATAAAACAGCTACTTTGAGGCCCAAGTTGAAAATTGGTTACTTATGCATTTTGACTCTAATTAGGCCATCCTGGCAACTAATCCCCCCACCTACATGTAATGGTTGAGGAAGTCTTGTTGCAATGTGGCTGAAGAAGCGTGCATGCACACAAAAGCTTATACCCAGAATAAAACGTTTGTTTTAAAGGTGCCACTGGACTCAAACTTTGCTCTGTTGCTTCAAACCAACATGGCTACCCACCGGAATGAATCTGCATAGAGTATAGTGAGCAAAAAAGGGTCAGACAGAGACCCTTTATTGTTGTTTATTTATATACACCCTGCTTTTTTTCCTGATTGGAGACCCAAAGCAGCTTCTCACATTGTTCCTCCCCTCCACTCAATCCTCACAACAACCACCTTATGAGGACAGGTTAGCCAAAGACTGGGTGACAGGCCCAAGGTCACCCAGCAGGCTTCCATGGCAGAGCAGTGGATTCGAATCCAGTTGTCCCAGGTCCTAGCCTGCCACTCTAGCCACTATCCCCCACCAGCCCTCATTTATTTTACACGTTTTATAGTCTGGCCTTTCTCACAGAGATTCAAAGCGGATGACACAGTGTTAAGCCAATGCAGTCAACAGGATGGTCCATCCAATAAGCAACGTAACGGAATTAGGACTGGGAAAATCTAAACCAGAGCTGTAACAAAGCGTAAGTCATTAACAGGACATGTTTCAGAAATGCAGAAACAGAAGCAGGGGTCGTTTCGTAGAAAAACAGGAGTGCAAGGAAGCCCTGGAAGGCCCTCCCTGGCCCCAGGCAGGCAGGGGTGGGGAGAGGCAGGGAGGAAGCAACTTACCCTCCCTCTTCTCCTGCCTCCTCCTGGCTGAATGAGGGCCAGAAGCGGGGTGGCCGGAAGCAGGGGGCGGGGCTTCGACATGTGCCCCGCCCCCCGTACCTACCCAGGGGAACTGCGATCCCCCGCGATCCCCCCCGAATCGACCTCTGAACAGAAGCATAATACGTACAGCAGCAAGAGTACATACCACACACAGTAGTATAGTACACAGTTCAACTAAATCATATGTTTAGAACCTGGGCGTTCTTCCATCATGGAACTCAAAGCCGCATGCCTTCGTTTCCGACCAGGCACTGGCCATATGCAGATCTGTTTTGCTCCAGGATCCCCAACCTTTCTGAGCCTGCAAGCACCTTTGGAATTCTGACATAGTGTGGTGGGCATAGCCACAAAATGGCTGCCACAAAACTAGGGTTGCCAGGTCTTACGCGTCTGGCAGCGGAGGGGATCCTGACTTGATCCTGGGTCTTAGGGCGTGCGCCACAATGACATCACCCAGAAGTGACGTCATCACACTGGGCACATTGTACAAGGACGCTCTAGCATTTGACAAAAAACTCTATGGTCACCATAGTTGTTGTTGTTCAGTCGTTCTTCTTGCAGTCCAAGGGACTCTCAAGAGTCTTCTCCAGCACCATAGTTCAAAAGAATCTATTCTTCGGCGCTCGGCCTTCCTTATAGTCCAACTAGACTTATAGCCAAATGCAAGAGCGTCCCCCACATGACTTGCCCTGCATGATGACATCACGCCAGGCACGTCAGGCACAGCAGGGCCCTTGGGGCACAGCACTCCCCCCTGCCAGCCAGCTGGCCGGTGGCGGATTGGGACCCCCGAAATTGGGGGAACCCTCGCCCCCAGCGGCGGGGGGTTGGCAACCCTACACAAAACGGCTGCTGCAGGAGGCAGAGCCAGCCACAAAGTGGCTGCTGCAGTTTACCTCCAGTGACACAGTGAAGATCCTTGTGGTGCGGTGGCAGCAGCTGCCACCACAGCAGCATTTTAAAAAAATCTGCACTTCCAATCAAATCTCCGACAGAGAGCCCATTTGGCCCCACTCCCTTTCTGAAAACACCCAGGGGGTGCCAAGAAAGGTGTCAGTAGGCTCCATGTTAAGGGGGGGGGGAGGGTCCCCTGGCTTAGCTTCTGCAACATGGCCGCCTCACATGCCTTCCATCCACACTCTGGAACAGCTACGGGGAAGGGGAGGTTATAAGAAGGAAGACCCGATCTAAGGCGCCAGGAGGTAGAACACCGGGGAACGCCAAACGCCGAAAGAAAGAGCCGCACAACAGCAACAGAGAGAGGCCTGCTGCCTGGGTGCCGGTAGATTTAATGTGGCCCTAGTTAGGTATTTAAAAAGTTGTCTGTAAACCGCCCAGAGACCCTTTGGGGCTGGAGCGGTATATAAACTAAAAGTAATAAATAAATAATAAATACATCTTCTGCTGCAAAGTGCAAAGGCGGGGGGGGGAGGCATTCAGTTGTCCTTATTCTCAGGTACGACAAGGGAGCCCCCCAGAGGACTAACAAACCTGGCCAGGGCTGCAGCGTGAGGGGGGAACGTGCCCTGGGATCTTCTGCCCCCAGACAGATGTGCAGGGCTTTCCTGAGCAGATGAGTCACGGAAAGAGTTTCCCGGGGGCAGAAACCCTGAAACCCATTGTGTTCAGTCTATTTTTAGGTTTTCAGAAAAACAGGCCTGCGGAGCTTAATGGGGGAATCAAAGAAGATTGTGACGTGCAATACGGCTGCTTCGGGAGACAACCGAAATGCGCAGGGGCGGGAGGGAAGTTCCCTTCCAAGATCGCGGCTCACCCTGAAAGCATCGGCAACCATCTCTGCTCCTCTGTGATTGGTCCACTTGGAAATTCCCACGAAGAACTCTCGGCCTGTGAAGATCAAAGCCATCGATGTAGACGCAAAGGGGAAAGCCGGGCCCTCCCACCTCGCATAGAGCAACACTGGTCTCTCTCTTGCTAGCGGAGACCTGATTTAGAGCTGTAGATAGGGTGGCCAGGAGGCCAGGAGAAAGAAATTCCCCGTCCCTTTAATAGAGGTTTAGTAAAGGTAAAGGTTCCCTTGCTCAAAAGCCAGTCGAATCCAACTCTAGGGTTGCGGTGCTCATCTCCGTTTCAAAGCCGAAGAGCCAGCGCTGTCCGAAAACGTTTCCGTGGTCATGTGGCCGGCATGACTAAACACCAAGGCGCACGGAACGCTGTTACCTTCCCACCGAAGGGGTACCTATTTATCTACTTGCAATTTCTTGCTTTCGAACTGCTAGGTTGGCAGGAGCTGGAACTAGAGATGGGAGCTCACTCCATCATGCGGCACCCGGGTCTCGAACTGCTGAACTACTGACCTTCCACAGCCTGCAGTTCAGCGTCTTAACCACTTGAGCCACCGCAGCTCAGGGAGGTTATTCACCAGGTGATGTTACTGACCTCCATAACATGAAAACCTTCTGCTGCCTATTTCCATACAGATAGTTTCAGAGGGTCAGCGGTGTTGGTCCAATAAGACCTCAAACACCAATAAGATTCTCAAGGTAGAAGCTTTCAAGGGGTATCTGATGAAAGGAGCTTTGACTGTCGAAAGCTTCTACCCTGGGAAGCTTGTTGGGTCTCTAAGGTGCTACTGGCCTCGAATCCAGCCTTTCCCCCCATTCAGCCTCTGTTAAAGGCACGGGACATTTGCCTCCAGGCCTGTTGGCAACCACAGCCCTAGAAGAGAAAAGGCTCAATCTGAAACTGGGGTCAGCCATCAAGTATGTTTTAAGGCACCAAGGCTCAGCCCTGGAAAATGCAGCACAGTCACGGAAACTGCCTCTCTGAGCATAGACAGAGTTAAGAGCGTAGGAGAAGCCATGTTGGATCAGACCAATGGCCCAACCAAGTCCAACACTCTGTGTCACACAGCGGCCAAAACCCAGGTGCCATCAGGAGGTCCACCAGCAGGGCCAGAACATCAGGGGAAAAAAGCCTCCCAGTATTGCCCCCCAAGCACCAAGATTACAGAGCATCCTTGCCCCCAGACAGAGTGTTCCATCTATACCTTGTGGTTAATGGCCACTGATGGGCCTCTGCTCCATCCCCGCACCTCTGAATAACCTTATGCACACATGTAAGGATTACAGGGGAAGGGGGCTTTAGACCAGAGGTAGCCTTGAGCCTCCCTTTGTATTTCTTTTTAAACAGAAATCAACCACCCCAGGGACAAACTCTTCAAATCTACTCGAGTTCTCCTTGAAAGGTGTAATTATCATCGATCATTCCTACAGCACTTTGGACATTAAAAATAACTGATAACGCTGGCTCACCCTCACATGTGCTCAATAAAGCCTCTTCAAGGTACTCAAGTATCCCCATTTGACTAGGGCTGCAAAGCGTAGTTGATTAAGCAGTTAATCGATTACGTGATTATTACTGAGCATTATTATTATTTATTACCCAGCGCCATCAAAATGCAATGCACTCTAGAGAGCTGGAGATAACAGGCCCCTGTTCTGAGGAGCTTACAATCTGAAGGAGACCAAAGAGAGGGAGGGAGGGAGGGAGGGAATTTTATCCTCAAATTAACCCTGTGAGGTAGGTTTGGCTGACAGAAGAGACCAGGTCAAGGTCACCCTGCAAACTTTTATGGGATCCTTCCTAACCATTATCCTACGCTAGCCAAGTCTACCATATGCTGTTTCAGTAGGGAAGGGGGATCTACAAGTCGTCTTGCTAGCGGGAAGCTGTCCCTAATTAATTAGGACATTTTTTTTTCTGAAAAGGGCATATTGTTTTTAAAGAGTTATAAAAACCTGACAGGGAAGACAGAACTTCAGAAGATGTATTCTCCCTTTTCTCACGCACGGGAATGAATGCTTCTTCTCAGGCGGTACCCTGCTGTATAGTTGCCAATGGTATGTTGGGAAGTCCATAGGAATTTGAGGGGAGAGTGGAAGGTGGGGAGAGAAGGGACCTCAGGAGGGTCTAACCATTAGACTAACCCCATAGGGCTCACCCTACGTTATCTGCAAGGGAACTGATCTCTCTATAGTTTGGAGATCAGTTGTAACCAGGGCTATTTTTGGGCAGGAACGCACAGGAACGGAGTTCCAGCTGGCTCCTGAGTTGGCCATGCCCAGCAGGAACTCATTAGCATAATAGGCCACACCTAACAGCAGACACTCATTCGGATTGGCTACATTAGGGGTGTGTGGCCTAACATGCAAAGAAGTCTACAAAAAAAGCCCAGGGTTTTGACAACAAAGTAAACAGAATAAGAAGCAAAAGGTGGGTGTGGTTGGATGACCACACTTCTGGTAACATGTGGGCTGTGGCCTAATATGTTAATGAGCTGTGCTGTCAGGGGTGTGGCCTAATATGCTAATGGATTTCTGCTGTTGGGTGTGGCTTATTATGCTAATGAGTTCCTGCTGGGCTTTTTCTACAAAAAAAAAAAAGCCCTGGTTGTAACCAGGGTTCCCTCTATTGTGAGTTAGGGTGAGCCTCCAGCTCACACATTTTTATCTCCTTGCTCAGGAAGGATGGCTCCGTAGCAGATGCAGTAGCCAAATCACCTGCTCACAACTTTAAAGCCAGTAGCTCACAAAGTAGAATTTTTGCTCACAAGACTCCACAGCTTAGAGGGAGCACTGGTTATACCTGTGGGAGATCTCCAGCCCCCCCTGGAGGCCAGCAGTCCTAACGTGCTGCAATACATGTACACATCTCTAAAGACAAAATGTGTTTCCAACATGACTAGGTTTTTCTCATAGGCAAACATGACTTAAATTAACAAGCCAAGCTCAAAAATCTACTAGGGTTTCTTGAATCAAAGGGATAGCACTCCTTTACATATTAGGTGACACACACCCTAATGTAGCCAATCCTCCAAGAGCTTACAGAGCTGTTCCTACAGGGGCTACTGTAAGCTCTTGCAGGATTGGCTACATTAGGGGTGTGTCGCCTAATATGCACAGGAGCTCCTGCTACAAAAAGAACCCTGCGAGATATATGGTTGCCAAGTACCCACCGGCAACTGGTGGGGCGGGGGGGGGGGCTTACCTGAAGCAAACAGAGGCCTAGTCCAGAGTTGTGGCGACATCACTTCCAGTATGCACCAGAAATGATGTTATCACGTTGCCGGTGATGCAAGGACACTGGTATTTGAGAAAAAACCTCTATAGTAGAAGTCATTTTTACCACAGAGTTTTTGCCCAAATACCAGAGCTTCTCCACAGTACCAGCAACACAGGCCGAGGCCTCCTTTTGCTGCTGGCAAGCCTCCTGCCGGCCAGGTGATTGACGATGGAGGGAAGGAGCCCCTGAGCAGGGGATGCCCCACCCTTGGAAGGGCTCAGCAAGCCTAGGAAGCTAGGATGAGACATACCAACTTGTCTAAGGTCAATTTAAAAGCATGGCTGAACTTGCTTAGAACTTTCTCACACATATTTAGCCCTCCGTCTAGTGAAGCACCAACACTTAGGGTTGCCAACTCCAGCCTGGGAAATTCCTTCAGATTTGGGCATGGTGTCTGTGGAGGGAAGAAGCTGAGGAGGGATTTCACTTTGAACTGACAATATACCGTACAGTCTGCCCTCAGAAATGGACATTTTTCTCCATGGGAAACTGACCCCTGTAGCCCGGAGTTCAACGGAAAGGCTGCGAGAACTCCAGGCCCCACCTGGAGGTTGGTAGTCCTACCCATGGTTGAGATGTCGTTCACCTGTGAAAAGTACATCACTCCCATCCAGGGTGGCTCCTTCATCTGTAACCTCGACGACACGCAATTTTAGTTCCTCCAAGACCTTCTTGATGCTGCTGATCTGGGGGAATATAAGGGGGGAAGAGAGAGAGAGAGATGGGTTTTTGCCATTGTCCTGTCACTTTTACATGTATCTTCTTTAATACATAGAATCATGGAATCACAGAGTTGGAAGGGGCCCTACAGGCCATCTGGGCCAACACCCTGGTCAATGCAGGATCAGCCTAGACTAGCATCCCTGACAAGTGTTTGTTCAGCCGTTGCTTAAAGACTGCCAGTGAGGGGGAGCTCAGCCCCTCCGGAGGTACCTGATTCCACTACTGCACAACTCTTACTGTAACAAAGTTTTTCCTCATATCCAGCCAGTACTTTCCTGCCCTTAATTTAAACCCATTCTTGCAAGTCTTATCCTGTGTTGCCAACAGGAACAGCTCCCTGCCCTCCTCTAAGTGACAGCCCTTCAGATATTTCAAGAGAACCCATCATGTCCCCCCCTCAACCTCGTCTGCTCCAGACTGAACATTCCCAAGTTCCTCAGCCTTCCTCACAGGCCTTGGTCTCCAGGCCCCCGATCATCCTTGTCGCTCTCCTCTGCACTTGCTCCATTCCATCCATCTCTTCTTAATATTTTAAATAGGTTCTTGCCCAAGTACTAGTCCTATCACTACTACAAAGGCTTCAGAGGCCTAGACACAGGGACAGTACAAAAAATGGCCGCCACATAAAAGGCTATATAAACCATTCGCTATGTGGGAGTTGTTTCGGTGAAGCTTTTCATGTTGGGCAGCTGGCATGGGTTTATTCACGCCATACTTTTACCAGATGGAGAAAAAAAACCCACCACACCCAAAGAATAAATCATCACACACACACAATGGCATACAATATGGACACAACCACCAATAGGAGTGAACAGCAGCGGCCTCCACTTTGTGGCCGTTTCAAACAAACGGGATGCAAGATTGATAGGGTTGCCAGGTCCTCTTCACTCACTGGCGGGGACTGGGAGGGAGCTCTCTGGGAGTGTGGGGGGTGGGATGATGTCACCACATGCAATGTCCCCTGCGTAGTGATGTCACGTGGAAATGTCACGAGGATGTTGCACCGGGAGGTGGCTGTTGGGGATCCCCTACTCCCACATGGGGGCGGGCAACCCTAAAGATCGAGGTACCCAAATAATTCAAATTAACATCCAGTGGCAATGGCCTCATGTCTTGCTACTATCAAAAAGCCTCTAAGGATTTCTAGATGTCACCTATCTCTTCTTATATATAATCGTGTTTTGGGGAGGCACTTTGCTTAACATTCCATGTGCTCCCAAAACAGCTGGCTCCCTGGCCTGTCACTCCAAGGGTGTGCCAAGCCACTGGCTGTGTTGCCTGAGTCCCACCCACAGAAGCAGCAGCCAGCGTCTCACACTCAGGGTGCGTTCAGATGGGGGATTTACAACGGTATAGGTGCCGGTTCCAACCGGTGTACTTACCGGCGTTCACACGGCGAACATCTGCCTCCCGTCCCTAACCTTTGTAGTAAAGCCCTTTAAACTGTTGTACTCTGCCATTAGGTCCCCAAGTGGTGGTATCCTGAGTACAACGGTTATAAACGCTGTGCCCCGCCGTCTGATCGCTCTCCAACATTGCACAGCTACTTCCGTTCGGAAGCCTGAGGCTTCCAATTTTCTCCCGCCATTTTTTTTAAAGGACGGCGATATGCGCTTGGGCGAAGCTTCGCCCTGCCGTTTGTTTAAAAAAGAAAAGAAAAGGGCCTTACTGTAGCGTTTCGGAGGCGTCCGGGACCTCAGGGAGGCTACTGTGCTCTTTAAACTTTAAAGGTAAGTCCTTACCTTTAAAGTTTAAATGTAAGACAGGGTTTTTTGCGCATGCGCGAAGATCGCCATTCTATGGATGGCTGCCTATGCGCATGCGCAAACTAAGTTTAAAAAAAACAAACCGACGACAAGTGTGGACGGGCGTATTGCGATGGGC